GAAACTAGAGGAGAAAAAAGGAAGAAGAAGAGGAAGAAGACGAAGAGAGGAAAAGGAAAGAAGGAGCAGAACAAGAGGGTGACACAAAAATTAGTAGGAGAACTGTCGTCAATTACTTATCCTCGCGGCGAAAATACCAACGATGACTGTAATGGCGCGACACAGCTGCAAGGATGGCTAGCACAGCGATGGTGGTGTGGCCCAACGGCGGTAAACATGCTGATGATAGGGAAGCCGTGACCCAATGATGACGATCGCGGTAATCACTGAACTGGCGTCGTGCGGCGATAGCGATCTCGATTATGAAAAGACTCGAGGACAACAATGACATTGATCGTAGTTGTCCCTTTCTTTGCTTTTACCTTTCCCCTCTCTCGTTTTCTTCGCCTGCTCCTGCTTCTTGTCACTCACGCTCTCCTTGCCCTTTCCTTTACTCTCTCCCCCCCCCCTCTACTCCTTTTCCTCTTCGACGTTGAGGCTCGTTGTCCTTTCCGTGAAAAAGGAAAGGACAGCCGCGCCCATAGGCGCGACTCTATTCCCTTGAAATCGCCTTCCCTCAGCCTCCCTCTTGCCTGTCTAAACGCTTTCGTTGCTGTCGTGTATTTGATGTTTTTTTGTCCGCTGTGATACGGTATTCGAGACGTGATCTTTTTGTGGAACTTCTTCCCGATCGTACCGACGGTGTACCTCCTTTGCTCGTTTTTTGCCCGAAATAGGTGGTTGTCTTGATTCTGTTCACTTTTGTCGCTGGTGATGATGAGGCGAGCTATGGCTGCTCCTGCCCTCCACCTCGCTCTGCCGGAAGGCCCCGCGCTCCTTCTCGTTCCCGCCAAAGTTCAAAAAATGGGAAGGTGGCTTTGTCGTGTCCCGCACGAGGGAACCCCACGCTCGACTGGCCGCTGAGAGCTCTAGGGCGGAAGTGCGTGCCTGCTAGCACAAAAATTCTTAGCCAGCAGGTTTTGCTCTGCCACCTGAAGCAACGCTTGGAACTCTCTTTCTTCCATTGCCCTTCTGGCCGCCAGGATTCAGGATGCCTTGGCCGTGGCATTAGAAAGGTTGCCCACCAGTTGCGGGAAAGTGATGGATCTCGTGTCGTGTGCTTCTCAGGCGTGGAGAATGGTGTCCTTCGTGATTTGCGTCTCCAAAAGCGAGTTGTTGATTTTGTAGAAGCCACGTCTGCGCTTGGGTGCTGCGTCCAGGACTATGTCAATGTGTATGTGTTTTTAGTCGAGCCCTGGAGTGTAGGGCAGCTGACTGATACCCGTTGCCTGGACTGCGCCTCTGAGGTCGTATGACAGCAAGAAGTAATCAATGCGCGATGCTGAGACGTGTTGGCTATGGTTGCCTTTCAGGTAGGTGAAGACTTTGTTTGTGGGTCGCAACGTCCTCAGTGGGTCCACCAAGTTGCGCTCTATCATGAGGTTGTGGATGGGTTCCGCCTCCGGCCACGCGGGGCCTTCCAGGCTTGAAGCTCCTCCCCACATCCTATCCATGCTTGGGTCGAGGACTGCGTTCCAGTCTCCGGCCAGCAAGAAATGTGCTGGCGTGGTGTATTGTGGCTGTAAGGTCTGCAGCATGGTTGTCCTGTGGTGGAGTGCATTAGGGCAGTACTGGGTAATCAGTCGAAAATGCTCCTGCTTGAGGTTGAAATCCAACTGCGCCCATCTACCCTCCCAGTTGTCCACCAGGTGAGTCTCCATGATCATGTTCTTTGTCGCTTCGGTCTTGCTGTGTACGAGGATGGCCATGCCTGCCGAGCCAGGTCTTGGAGCTGGTGCCCAATGGGCATGTTTAACCCATCTCAGTCTGCGCTGGATTTCTTGCTGTGTTTGCTGGTGCTCAAGCGACGTCGTCAGATGTGTCTCCTCTAAGCAGAGGATGTCCGGGGGGCGAGCTCCGTACCGGACCACCACCCTTGTGATGTTATGGCATTTTTGCTGGTTATCGAGGACTGTGGCCAGACCATTGATGTTACATGACACCACCTTCAAGTCTGGCGTTTGGGTGACCGCTTTGTGAGCCAGCGCTTCGACCTGGTCGTTCATGCTTCAGTTATAAGAGGGATTTTGAGATCAGCTCTTGGCGGGACGGTCCTAATTGTTGATATACAGCATCTCCTTCTTTTGTGACAGGGCGGTGATCTTCTTGTGCCAGCCTGCTGCATCCGACAAGAACAGCCTGTGGCTAGAAACCAGTGCTGCTCCGAAAGCCGCCTCTCTCCGGGGCCACGCACATTCCCAGCAGGCCGTACGGGCTGGCCTTCATGACTTGCCATGACACCCACTCCAGTTCATCTGTGAGGACAAGTTGCTCGTTCACCCGCACCAACACCGGGCGAAGGTCTGCCACGTGCTTTTCGTCCGCGGCGTCCTTCCATTCCTCTGTGTTTCCTTGGTGGCAGCATGCTGCATCAGACAGGAACAGCCTGTGGCTAGAAACCAGTGCTAATTGTTGATATACAGCATCTCCTTCTTCTGTGACAAGGTGGTGATCTTCTTGTGCCAGCCTGCTGCATCCAACAGGAACACCATGTGGCTAGAAACCAGTGCTGCTCCGAAAGCCGCCCTCTCTGGGGCCACGCCCGTTCCCAGCAGCCCATATGGGCTGGCCTCCATGACTTGCCATGACACCCACTCCAGTTGATCTGTGAGAACAAGTCGCTCGTTCACCCGCACCAACACCGGGCGAAGGTCTGCCATGTGCTTTGCGGCATCCTTCCATTCCTATGTGTTTCCTTGGTGGCCTCCCAGGGTAAACATCAGTGTGAGTGCTTCTGCAAAATGTTCTTTGAGTGTACCATCGTTAAGCATGTCGTCTATGACCGTAATCAGTGCTCCCGTTTTGTGCACTGCCACCTCCCAATCTTTGTGGGTCATGTTCCATTGACAGGGGAGGAGTATGCGTCTGTGCTTGTTCTTTTGGCGTCCACCCTTATCGCTGCCTCGACTGCCGCCACCTGTCCGTCTGCTATTTGCCGCAGGGACTGGTGCTTGCCTGTGAACCGCTTGTTTTTTGCAGTGAGCGCGGCGACTTGTGCTTTTCAATGCGCTTCCTCCTTCTGAGTTCCGCCTTCGTGCCTGGTTCTGTCTAAGGCCCTGTTGCTTGTTTTGGGTGTTCGTCCGTTTCTGTTCCGCCCTGTGCTTTCTTGCCCCGATTGGCCTTGATGGGTAGCTCTTCTTTGTCTGTGTATGTGCTTGGCCATTGGAACTGACGCGTGTAGTCCGGGTTGTCGACGTGGAGGGTGTCCCCGTCAACTCTGGTTCTAATGCTGTATTGATGCCATGAATTCCAACATCTCGTTTTCCATCTGCAATGCGTTGAAACGATTGTTGTCGGGGGAAGCCGTTAGCATCTTGCGGTCATATCGGTGATGCACCTGTTGGAGTATGAATTCCAACTCTCGCACCGTTCCAATTCTTTGACTGCCTGTTGGAGCCACTCTTGGTCCTTCTTTCCGTCGTCTCCTTCACACTCTTCCTCTTCCGAGAGGTCGTGGTCGTGGTCACGATCCCCCTCCCGGCTGGGCGGCCAGTGTCCAGACCCATCCGTAGTGAGGTTATCATCGAAGATCCAACCGGGGAATTCAGGGCGGTTGATATACGAGACGCTATTTTTTTATTCGCACTCGACCAGCTGCATTGGGTTGGCTTCCTGACGTCTCCCTGCTGCCCAATTAGCGGGGCAGTTTGGGTCATTCCCCAAGTGCCCTCGTCCTCTACAGCAGAAGCAAGCTGGGTTGGTTTTTGTTGACACGCAAACCGCCGCCCGTTGGCCGTTCTTCCGAAAGAGCCAAACTTCTGGGAGTGCCGGTGGCTCTCCTAACGGAACACTCAGACATGCAATCCACGAATCCTGGTTTGGTGAGGAACTCCGGGCCAACTTCCAGCCATGCAACGACCAGATTGTTGGGATACTCTGATTCCAGGTGCTTGTGTATCATGTTGTGAAGTCCTTCAGACAGGTTATCAAATTGAATCCAAAAGTGCTCCCGTAGCATGTGTTTGTCGATGTCATGTCGCCTCTCTTTGCAGCACCTTCAGTGGTTTCCATCCTCTGATGGTGACCATTGATCCCTTACAGTTAAGGGAATCCAAGGATTTCAGGTACTTGGCACAACATTCCTCGACGCAGAGCACCATAACCGCGTTTCTTCCTCGCTTGTGAAGGGATATGTTCAGCTCCATTCCCGGGAGGGTCTGCAAGGCTCTGAGTCGATCGAGCACCCAGGCGCATTTATCGTCGAGGGAGAGGTCCTTGCTCTTATGGGAGAAGTTGAAAAGCACCGCATGATTTTTGTAGAGGCATTTACTTCTTCCTGTCTTCTTCAGGATATTGAATTTCCCAAACGTCGACCTCTATCTCCTCTCCGCCATCGATGCACAGCTTCTCTTTGAGGACTTGGACTTGTGACTTAATCCGTGTCCTGTTGATCAGGAAGTCAAGCACCCATTGACCTAGTTTGGTTGGAAGTTCCTCGACTTCCTGGTCGCTGCTGACCGGATTGTTGGATGACCTAGCTCCAGCAGGCGCTGTATGCGGTGTGGACGGTGCCTGTTGGTTTGGCGGGGCCGAAGAATGATGGATCCCCACCACGTCAGCATAGGAGATCTCCATGTCGGTCTTCGCCATTGCCCCCGATGACACCATGGTGTGTGTACATGTTCATTCCTCGTTCAGTCTCTGCCAACTCGGTGGTCTTCTTGCATGGCGCTCCCTGTCGTCGTCCGCGATCCTGTGCGTGTTGTCTCGCCGCTGTCTCGCTGTCACCCTACCTGCACGGCTTTCTCCTTTTTTAGGGTTTTATAATTTTATTTTTTGCTTTTGCTGCATTGGTGCCTCACTCGTGCGCCCTCTTTTTTTGCGTTTTGAAATTTTCAAGATTTTATCTCATCAGTCCGGTTCCTATTCCACCGGCAAGTCAAAAGTAGCACAACAGTTACTCATGCACGCTTCTTCTAATGACGGTTGAGAGATCCGAGTGGACGGCATTGATTACGTACCCTGGGGATCGTCTGTAATCTTTGCTTGTCGTCCAGCACTGTTTTTTCCTTCACCAGATCCTGTTCCAGAGCTAGTTCTCTAGGTATTTGACAGGAGGCTAGATGATAGGCTAGGCTAGGGACGTAGTGTAGGCGGTCACATCATAGCTTAGGGCTACTACTTGGATGTTGGATTGATTCTAATATGGCAACAAGATTTCCCGAATTTAGCCAGGGCCTATCCAAACATCTGACCACCCGTCAAATTTGGTATGGCATTGCCACTGCACATGATTTTGAGAGCCATGATGGTATTACTGAGGAAAAATTATATCAAAAAATCTTTGCCTCTCATTTTGGTCAGTTTATCTGTGTGGAGGCGCTAAGAGGGCTTTCAAGCCTTTCATTCTCAACAGACTTCAGTGTTCAGTGTGTTGATCTTTGGTGTCCTCTCGTCCTTGTCAATCTGCTTTCAGTTTGGTCTACTCATACATGGTCTTCAATGTGTTCTTGCTGCTGAAACTTTTTGTGTTCGCCACTTCTCACATGCTGGTTCCTTGCATTTCAAAACAATTCAGAAGAAAGAGTTATCAATTCAAGCGGCAGAGGAGGAATTGTTAAACATTACTGAAACTGAGGGGAGATGTCAGTGGAGCTGAAAGTAATCCGAAAGAAAGTGAGGGCATCCTACAGAAAAGAAGATGTTAAAGAGGAACAGTTCTGGAAGGAGGATTTGCTGAAGTTGAAGACAATTCATTTGGCTCTGGAAGAAAGGCAGCTGGAGATTTCCGATGGCAGTCCCAGGCGACCTTGCTTGGTGCTGATTATACCTCGCCATTCCCTCTTCCCAGATGAACTCAGTAGCCAGCCATCCAATCACACACTTGAAGTCCTTATTAAATTCTTTGGGTACTTGAACCTTCTTTCAGGAAAGTAAGTTATTCTTGACTAGGAATCAGGATTTTTCAGGTACAGGCTGAGAGGAGCTGTGGGGATTTGTTTTTTTTGGATGTTTTCCTGGGGGTCAGTAACCTGGAGATTGGAAAATGCTTGGTTAAATGACTCGGCGAATTGGGCATTCAATCCTCCCTATTGGGAGTTGTCAATGCTGTCAGAGGTTCCCCAGGCCATAATGGGGGAAGCACCATGCAAGTTTTGTATGTTTTTCGGACATGACGCCATGGAAAAGGATGGAGTGACAACGTCGACAATAGAAAGAGGCAGAGGCCAAAAGGTCTTGGTTTTGTTAAAAATAGAAAAACAAAGTACACTGATGATTGACAACATTGAGCCTTGCATGCTGTAGTGAGTGCTGCCAGTCTTCTGACCAGACTCGTGACAACTCGAGGTCAGGCTTCGTCTGTTAATCACTAGAAGGGTAATCACTACTCAAGGTTGTGGAGCTGCCGGGAGCTGATTTAGTGGTCAAACGGAAAATAAGGAGAAAGGAAAGATTTTTTGGTAGCGCTTATTACTTCATGGCAGATGAATGCTAGACAGCACGAGGGGCACGGATGGAAAACATGACGTCGTTGGGAGGACATTCTTTCTGCACAAGAAAGTTTACAATAACTCTCGTGGGCAATCGGATCGACATGATGTACCTGTCACATTCAGCATGTGCACCCCTCCAGCAATAACCGAGGTAAAGAACGTGGAAACACGTTTCAAACAAGTGTAGCTCTGGCACCAACCATGATCCATTGGCCCATTGAGCACATTCACCAATCCACCTGTCGCCAGCCTCACTGGTGCGAAGCGTCTATCTTCTGTATCTGCATCTCTGCTCTCAATTGCAATCTGGCGTGGAAGCGGAAAGGTTGACAAGGGGAAGCAGAGCACAGGAGGAAAGGGAGAGATGAACAAGGTGCATAGAGTCAGATAGCTGTTAACCTTTCTAGGACGCCAGAAATCAGCATTCCGTGCTCGAGAACTCTAGGAATAGTAGGGAATACAAAGAGCACTGAAAATCACAGAACACCACTGATAGGCAGTTTGTGGTAGCAGGTCAGACATGCGGTGAAGGCACATTGGTGTTGAGGCATGCTGAGATGCATACAGTGCCATACACCACGTGTAATCACAGAGAGAAGGCAGGAAGCGTACCTTAGAATTGGAAACCGTAAACAACATTTTTTGAGCCCCCTGCACAACTGTGTGCGGAATCTTGGGTACGTTTTTAAATTGGTCTAGGGCAATTTGGGGCATTTGCTACGACTGAACCACCATTCATATAAAATCCCCCTTTCCTTTTGCTGTGTAACCAGCTAGGCCGCTGTCAGGGTTGATGCAAAGAGCTGGTACATATCAGCAGGTAACCTCTATAAGAAGGTGCAGATGTCTGCAGGCGTTCAGAAAACTTATCTGATCAACACTGGCTTTTTGAGTGCAAGAGTGCAGGCCGCTGGGACAGGTTCAGAAAAACAGTTTCGGGGGTACGGGCGGACCACTACCCCCCCGAGCCTCTTTCTAACGACACAGATTCTTCCCGTGCTTCAAGTCATTCCGAATCGCCACAGCGAACAATTTGCTTGGTGGCGCTCCATTGCGGCTCCATGGTTCATGCTGAAGTGACATACACCATCAAGCAGATGTTGCTGACTGAATGGAGGTTGAAGGTTCAGCTCCAGGGCTATTTGGCCAAAGCCACGAAACGGTTTTTCTCTTGATGGGGCGGATTTCGTGGTTTGTTGACAATTCTGCAGCCCCCGGCTGGTCGCCCAAAACTGTGTTTCACTTCCGTCAAAAAAAAAAAAGGGGGTAAGTACGTTCATGTCACCTTTGAGTATCAAATGGGCAAAAAAAAACGCGTCGGCAAAGAAAACTGCACCGAGTTCAAAAAGGCAATGGAAGTACCGACGGCCGTGGTGTCAGACCGGGTATCATATTTACAGGGGTCTGCCGTGTTGTCAGCGGGAAAGAAAAGAAAAGAAAAAAATCCCAACGGAATCGAACGGATACTTTGGAACCGCAATCGCTCATTTCGAGTTGGCCCGTGGTTTCTTTGCCAGCGCAAGTTTTTTTTGCCTTGAGGGTTTCAAAACATGCCGCGTCCGCCATTATTTCAAAAAAGAAAAAAAAAAACAGGTCCTTATGGTCCTGGCTCCTTGTCCATTCCGAGTAGCGTCAGTCCAGTTCCTTTTTTTTTTTTTTTTTTTTTTTTTTTTTTTTCAGAGCCTCATGGTTCTGGCTCCTACCATTCTGGGGRGCGACAGTCCGGTTCCTATTCCCCCGGCAAGTCAATATGAAATACATAAAAGACACACGCACGCTCCTCCCCATTATGGTTGAGAGGCCCGAGTAGGCAGCATTGATTACTTCCGTGGGGAAGGATGTACTACCTCTCACCCCTACTTGATGTAGCTTGTCTTTTCTCAGCCTTGAAATCTGTCTGGTCTCAGATCTACTCCTCTCAGCTATGAAGCTGTCGGATATCTAAGAGTGTACAAGAGCATTCTGAAACCCTTATGCGTCTTATGAAACCTCTTTATCTTGATAACAGCTATAGCATTGATCCTGTGTAAGTCATAACCTATAAACCCTAGGTCTTGCTATTGTTCTGATTTATCAATAACTAGTCATCCAAATAGAAATTACTTCTCCTATACCCTAAATCTGTCACTGTTTTCCTTCGAGCTTCAGCCTGTTGTTTTTGTATCTGCTACCCTTAAACCCTAAACCCTCTCTGTTTTCTGTCGAACTCCCTTGTTGCTATTCTCCAAAAAATCGTAGTTCCAGTGTCAAGTGTGTGAAATGCTAAAAATGTTTCAGTCCGGTCCCTTTTTTCCTGGTTCTAGCTCCTGCTATTCTTACACTAACCTTGGTCCTAAAACCCTAAACCCTTTCAGCTACCGTAAACCCTATCTTACTATTCGTCGAAGAATTTTCCTGTCCTCATTCTCTATTACTTTTTTCATCCCTCTCTCCACTTAAACAAAAGCTGCGATCCTTGGATGACTGCCACTGCTCCCTGACCTAGTATGTTCCGTTTGAATGCAATCATGATGTTTTTCTCCTGTTGTGGTTGGTGTCATATCTGTGTTCTCACCCCTTTCCACACAGAATATTGATTCTCCTTGAGACTCTTGTTTGACCACTTCTGATGTTCCATGCCCATTCTGCAGGATCTACCTCTAGTTCTTCGATTGGTACATTTGATCTATATATCGTAAAGACGTCTGTCTCTACCACCCTCACCTTCCGTAAATAGTGTTTCAGGATGCTTAAGGGTGTTTTGGTAGCCATATCTAATTGAGACGTGGTGCTGTAAGGATGGAGTATGTCAAATTTCTCTGCTATTAACCAGTCAGTTCTAGAGGTCTCCAATCCCCATATTCTGAAGACCTCTTTAGGTTCCCTGTCGTCCCCCCATGTGGCCCAGTCTCCTCTACCCCATTGTTTTTCAGCTTGCAACAACTGTTTCCATGCTTGTGGTATAGCCTCCTTCACCAATGTCAAATTTTCCAATAATTTGTGACATCCCTTCAGCTGATTCCTTAGTTCCACTTCTGTCTTCCATCTTTTTTCTGTCTCCTCCCAGAGATGTTTGATCTGCCATACTCCATGTTCCAGCCATCTTCCCCACCTTGTGTCTGTTAGCGATAGTGTGAGTGGTTTTCCTTGAGTGTCTTTGATACCTGTATTGCAAAATAATGGTTGTCTGTGTAGTAGGTTCTTTGACTCTTGCCGAAAATATCTCCTTCCACAGCTTTATGAGTTCTAACCAATAAGAGGGAGATCGAATTTCCTCGTCCTGACGTTCGTTCCACACATTACCCAAAACTGGCTTGACATATTACTCGGCGTTTTATACCTTGCCATTTGTCTTATGTTTTCTAACACTAATGATGTCCATGAAAGGTTTGGTTGAGAAATTAGCTTTGTGACCCATTTGGTTTGAAGCGCCTTTAATTGGATGTCTGGATCCAGTATGCCCAGTCCCCCCTGAAATTTAGTTCTAGTGACATGTTTCCAAGCTACTTTAGATATGAAGTGTTGAGTATTCGGCTTGGCTGTCCAAAGGTATGAGGCCGCTCTTTTTCTTAATTGGGCAGTCGTTGCTTTTGGTGGAGACCAGATAGACCCAGCATACCATAGCATGGAGAAAATAGACGCATTGAGTATCAGTGCTCTTCCATATATTGATGTATACACTGATGACCATGCTCCTAGTTTTGTCAAAATCTTTGACATTAGGTCCGCTGCCATAGAATAGTGTCCCCCCTTCTGTTATTTTGATACCTAGGTATTTGAGTGGAACCATAGGGGTGATCCACTGTGGCCCCTCTGGACTGTTGAGAGGAACGTCTTCTTCTTGTCATTGCTCTGTCAGCCACCAGCCCATTGTTTTTTGCCAATTGACCTTCATTTCCGACGCCAGCTGAAAGGCTTCCATTGTCCTTGTTAGTGCCTGAAATGAAGAGTCCGAAGCTCTAATCAACACTGTTAAGTCATCCGCGAATAGGATTGTGGTGGGAAGATAAACCCTATGTCCCTGATTATCCGGCTGCGCTGTTAGCCTGTGAATTGATGGATCCTTGCGAAGGAAGGAGGCTACTGCCTCCATTATGAAGAGGAAAATAGGAGCCGCCAGAGGGTCTCCTTGCCTGACTGATCTTGACATCCTATAGGTCGGAGAGAGATGGCCATTTATTTGCACCTGTCCCTGTGCATGGTTGTAGAGAACCCTTATCCATTTCCTGAAATTAGGGCCGACGCCCATTTTTTCCATACATTGCTGTAGAAAAGGCCAGCTGACCTGATCATATCTTTTTCAAAATCAAAAAACAAAATTGCTGCGTTTATTTTTTTATCCCTTATGTACCGAACTGATTCCGTTAAAGTCATAACATTATCCAAAATGAATCTCCCTGGAATGAAACCCGTTTGATCTATATGGAAACAATTACTTGTAATAGTCGATAATCGATTGGCTAGTGCCTTGGCTACTATCTTGTGTGTGAGGGTTAGCAAGGTTATTAGTTTATAATTGCGTATGTCAGTCGGGGATCCCTTTTTATATGTAAGTGTAACTACTCCTGTTGCAGATTCCCGTCCTATTCCTTCCTCTTGCCATGCCTGTTCCAGAAAGGCCAGATATCTGTCTCCCAAAATCGGCTAGAATTCCATCCAAAACTCCTTAGTAAGTCCGTCCAAACCTGGGGTTTTGTTTGGGGTCATGGACCTTAATGCTTCCCATAATTCCTCTTGTGTCAAAGGAGCATCCAATTTTGCTGCCTGAAACGGCGAGATCGTGGTCTGTAAGTGATTGAGAAATTTGGAGCGCGCCTCTGCCACTTGATTCCTTGGATACTCCTCTTCTCTTGACCGATACAAATCCTTATAAAAATCAAAGGCTAACCCTAAGATCCCATCTTTGTCTGAGATTGGCCCTGTTGGGCCGTCAAGTTGAGCTATGAGATTGTTCCTTCCTCTGGATTTTATCTTTTGGAAGAAAAACTTAGTCATTCTTTCCCCTTCTTCCCATTCCTTTATTCTAGCCCTCATTTGAAGTCCCCTTGTTCTCCAACGTTGCCATTCTGCCATTTCCTCCCTTGCCGCTTCGAGTGCCCTTTCATATATTTCGTTTCCTGGGGAATTTAAGATGTTGCGCTCTACTAATTTTATTGTTTGTTGCAGCTCTACCTCCCTTTCTTTTCTTCTTGCCGCTAACCTTCTTGCTACCACTGCCGAAGCTTTTGAGTGCCATTATGAGCTCTGGGAATGATTGTGTATCCGGATTATGATCTTGACATACCTGTAACACCGCCCTCCTCATTTCCTGTGTTCTCAGCAAGGAGTTGTTTAATTTGTAGAACCCCTTGCCTCTATTGACTTGTTTATCTGTCACTAGGTGTAAGTGAACTGGTTTGTGATCTAAACCCATCCCATAGGGTAGTCCCCCTATACTAACAGAATGTATCATGCCAACTATCCCTGGTGAAGCGTCAGTCCGGTTCCTATTTCCCTGGCACGTCAATAATAAAATACATAGTGTACACCCTAACTTCACATCCTTTTCTTCGTAATTTTGTTGAGTGAGGTTTTCATGTGTAGCTTCTGGCCATGTAGATAGTCAACTTCACATCCTTTTCTTCGTAATTTTGTCGAGTGAGGTTTTCATGTGTAGCTTCTGGCCATGTAGATAGTCCCTTTGCTTCTGTCTGCTGGCTCTGGTTGGTGGGGAAGCCAGGTGGTTACTTCCCTGTGGCTTCTCCGTACTTGTAGATGCCATGTCTCTTGTGGCTTTTGCCTTTGGTTGAGCCCTTCTTTCTTTGTGCATTCTGTTTACCTTCTTCTCTGCCGAGCATTAGATCATGGCTTAGTTTGGTGTGCCTTCGCCTTGCTTTTCCCTTTTGGATAAAGTAGAGGTAGAGACAGGAAGTGTGTGGTCTGCTTTCCAGATTTTTACCCTTGCCAAAGTTCTGACAGGTCGGGCAGTGTGCGGATGCTGGGGAAGTTTGAGGATGCTTCTTTCTCGGTCTGTGGCGAGCCTGCTTGGTGGTTGTAGGTTGGGCCTGGCCGGTCTGCCTCACCCAGGCCTGTTGGCCACCTCATCCGGTCATTGTAAGGGATGCCGGGCCTGTTTCCCGACCTTTTGTAAATTAAAAAAAAAACGAGAAAAGGGGTGCATTTTGAATTATTTTAATTTATTTATTTATGACCCACACAGTTTGCCGAGTGAGGCAGTGGGCATGAGCCCCTAAGGGAAGTGCTGTCATCCATCCTTTCTCCACGGCCAATCAAGAGAGTATATTTCATTGTATTTATTTATTTATTTAGTTAGTTATTTAGTTATGTGCTCACTATCTCCGGCACAGGGCCAACCAGCAGGCGCTATTTATTTTATCAGCGAGGGTAGCCAAGCAGGCCCAATTTATTTTATCAGCACACCGTAGCCAAGCAGTCATTCCTAACCACCCAGTTGAGACTCCAGTCTATTGGTGGGGAGTATCACCTGCTGAAAATCGGGTTCAACGTCCCTTATACATAAAATTGTCCAGTGTTACAGCTTGATAAGAGTCAAAAGGATCAAAACCACCTCTTCAGTCCTGATCAGACCGCCATATAGAACATGCACCTCTAGCGGTTCTAATCCTCCTAATGATGATTAAGCATTCTTCATTATCTGACCCCCTCCCACCAAACCACTGATTTTCTACTAAAGCTAACTATGAGGGAGGGAACAGTTCAAAAAAACATGCAGCATCTCTGAGGCATTCCCCTGGCTGAATATCAAACCAGTCATGAAAATGTAGCAAGTAACTCTTCTTGAGAGGCATCCCAGACTCATTCTCATCTGGTCATACCACATGTCCAATTCCTTGCTCCTGAGAACCCCCTAGCCAGTCCATTGTGAATTTGAGAATAGTTTTTGGATGTCTTTCTTCTGAGTTAGAGATTTTAATTAATATTGTATGCCTATGAGGTTGGATGACGTTCCCAATTTCCTCAAAGAATGCTGCTCTCTCTGTGGATGAGTTAGGGGCGTATAAGTTAATTATTGTGACGTCCTCTCCTCTGAATGTCATCTCTAACGTGTTCCATCTGCCTCTTATGGTATCCGTTGTTATCGAGTTAATTTGTATTAGTTGAGCCGCTTCCACATTATTGTGTACTATCGTGCTGACGCCAGCTCAGGATGGTGAGAGACTATATGTTGATACTGCTGTTGCACAACTTTTTAGTCTCCTTATGATTTCCATCTCTGTTATTCTGTGTGAGGGTGAGTTGGTTAGGTGGGTTTCTTGGAGGAGCAACATGTCTGGGGGGTTGGGACCTGTCTCTTATACACATCTAGATGTGTATAAGAGACAGGTGCTTACGCCTGCTGAGGATGGTGAGAGACTATATGTTGATACTGCTGTTGCACAACTTTTTAGTCTCCTTATGATTTCCATCTCTGCTATTCTGTGTGAGGGTGAGTTGGTTAGGTGGGTTTCTTGGAGGAGCAACATGTCTGGGGGGTTGGGACCATTCCATCCTGTCGTGTTTATTAGACTATGCCACTTCGCTGGGTTTGATAAAATTGTTGCTAGTCCCCTCACGTTCTAGGATTGAATTACCAAATCCCCCCTTGGCACATTCATTGTTTACTGAAATTGCTCTCTTGTTGGTCTTGAAGTTTTTTGTTTAGGTGAGAGAGTTGCACTATGCTTCCTCCGCCTGGGGAATAAGGAGAGAGGGTAATTCATTCTCTTCCCGCAAGAGGACCCCTGACTTCACCAATGTAGCAAGCACCGCTGCATTGTGAGACATAGAATTTTTGTTGCTCAATGCTGTGATCGGTAAGGCTGCCACCCACCACCAAGGTCTCCATTCCATATCCTCATGCAGTTTTGTTTCCTTATCGAAACAGACTAGCAACGGCCTTGCGTCATAAGGCATCTGGTCTTTTCTGCCTGATTCCCCTGTGGCTTCCATTCGACTTTGCTCAATGTCACCCGTAACTTCACCTACCAGCCCAAAGAATTTCGGTTCTTTCCCCTTACTGATCCTCTTTAGTACATCTTCCCTTTTTTGCCCCAATTGCCATCTGACAGTTGAAAGATCCTTGTGTACTGCCACGTTCCCTTTTTCTGTCAGCGGATCCACCTGAATGGGAATTACCGCCCTTGTCGGTAAGAGCATACTTGCTTTCTTTTTTGCTCTTTCCCATAACTTTCCGTGTGACTTGTACTGTAGATCCTGTACCGCTACTGTGCGTAGCTCCATTTCTCTATTCAACTCCGCAAGTCTGTCACATTGTGCATACAATGCCTGTGTCTGGATGCCCAATTGCATTAATGTTGCTGACTCTTTGCCCTGAGTTTCCTGATCCTTTTGTTTCTCCTGGTCGTTTAGGGGGTAGGCCGGCTTGTAGCCTGACAATTTTTTCCCCTTGACCTGTGATTTCTCTTTCGCCTCGACTCCGTTGCCCCCATCTATTTCCATGCTCTGATCCTCCTTGGCTGCGCAATGCTTCTCCGCATAGAGGGCTGCAGGTTCCTCTTCTCTCTCCAGAGGTGCAAAGGGATTTTCTGAGAGAGGAATGAGCTGGGATGGGTTTGTGCCGTCCGTTTTCTGTTTGTTTTTCTGCTCCTCTTTGTGCAGAATCAGTTGCAACTCGAATTCGTCTTGTCTTAGTTTTTCGTAGACCTGAATGAGCTTGAGGAGCTCGCTCTCCTCTTGTTCAGACCACGGGTAGTTGTTTTCCATCCATTCTTGTTCCTCTTCGGTTTCCTCCCTATCGTCCAAACCTTCGATGTGCTTCCTCTTTTCGCCCACTGTCGGTTTTTGGGTTCCTTCCCCCTCTCCGTGCCCTGTGTCCCGTGCTCTCCCTTCCATGTTTTCATCCGGCCTTTCTGCGTCCGGCTCTGTCCCCAATTGGATTTGCCCTGCCCCCTCTACGTTCTTCTGGAGTATGTTTTTTGTTTGGGTTGTTCCTCCTTTTTCCTTTCTTCCTCCTGTCTCCGTTTTACCACTTCCACCCATTCCCTTTCCGCTGTTTCCTGCACCGCCTGCAGGTCTACACATAAGTCCTTTTCCCAAATTTCTTGCTTCAGAGACTCAACGTCTATTACCGGGTCTCTGGTGAAACATTTGGGTGATTTCTTTTCCATTTTCAGTTTTTGCCACCTGTTGTCAAACGGTGGGTAGACCTCCGGTTTGGGGGTTGGCTCTCCCTTGATCATCCATACCCAATCAGGTGTGTCTAGGTTGTCATTGAACACCCAGCCTGCGTACTGGGCACCGTGGACATAACAGTATCCTCTTTTGTTTGCTACTTCTTGAAGGTTTGTTGTCTTGAGCGGTTTCGGTTTTCGTTTTCTTTTGTCTTCGGACAGTTGACATCCGTTCCCAGGTGTCCCCTTCGTTTGCACTTGAAGCACAGGGGATTGTTTTTGCTGGACACCGTTATCCTGATGACTTTGTTTTCTTGAGAGAAAAAACATTCATTCGGGGTGAATGGTAGTGGGTCGTCTCCCGTATCCAATACCACTGTCATGTGATTGTGCTGTGGAGTGAGGAAGTCTGGGGTTGAGACGATCCAGTGTGCTTCCTTGAAGTGACCATATTCCATCCTCACTCTCTCGCACTCTGCTACCACCCTTGGGCTCTGGGTTCATTGACAACCTTGAGCAGTGGCCTCTATATAGGCTCTGTGGACAGGGTTTTGTGTGAGGTCATGCCCTTCCCAAGCTAATGGTGGAAGGGTATTCCGATGTTTAGCAGAAAACCTCCAAGATCATAGTAAACCCGAACAGGTTTTTTGTAACTGTGAATCCAAAGGCCTAGTAACGAGTCAACTCCATCCCGTACATTTTCGGTCACATCCACTCTGGGATCCAAGGGAGTTGTTCCTTCAGGCGGGACATCATATCTCCCACAGTGAAATGGATCTCTAATAAGAAGAAGTATTAAAAACAGAAAAAGAGGAGCGCATTCCATGGCTGCTGGGGAAATACTAACTTGACAACAAATTGACATCCAAGTTCCCACGTTTTCATTATTCGAGGTAACAGATTTTTCATCAGTACTGATTCAGTAGATTAATTTGCAAAAAGGACTGAGTCACTGGACAGCAATGAGCATGCACCAACCAGAGAAACCTACCGGTGTGTATGGCTGTGGCTGACATATGTATGCGAACCAATCAGGTGAATAAGTACACACTGTTCTGTTTACGAATACACCTTGCTTCTCCGGTAGAGTTCGCGGCACAGTGTCACTTCCTAGTACTAACCCCCCTCTGGTTCCTGTCAGCGAGCCGTCCATGTCGCGCATTAGGATCTGCAGAAGGCCGTCGCAGTGCATGTTTCCACAGTCGTCGACGGTCCTCCATCCGGGATCAGGAGGATTCAGGAGCACTCGGCTGCTGTTTGCAACATTGTAAAAGGTTATGTTCCTCCATTCATGATAAGGCGTATAATCTGGAGACACTGGAGATGTTGCGAAGGCTGCATGTAGAATTTGGCAGGGATTTCTCCTCCCAGCAAAATTTGCGAACACCACATTTGTGATGAACACACGTCCCATTGTGGGGTACCCATGGATCTGGCAGCGCAAGACAGCCCACCCATCAAAACAAACAACAAACAACAAACAGTTTCCTGTGAGGGTGTGCAAGATTCATAAGCACAGGAGCAATTTAGGATAATAGCATGACCAATCTCAATGAGGGTCCAAGTCTGCATAATATCGTGATGTGAATCCAACCATATCACAACAGTGAACTTGACTTGTGCGCAACTAGGGTCATGATTGCAACGGGACTGCTCGTCAAACAAATACGCACACAGCAGTTGTGTCGATCGTATAATCGTTGCACAATGCCTACAGCATGGCAGCGTGGTTTTCGGGGGGGGGGGGGGGGGGAAAAAAAAAAAAGCATTTTAATTTTTAAAGCGTTTGAGCATCCCCTGGTGCTCTGAGAGCTGACTCCAACAACGTCAAGTTAGCAGCGTCAAACAAATAGGCACACATCAGTTATGTCGATCGTGAAATTGTTGCAAAATGCATATAGCATTTGTTAAGCGTTTGAGCATGTGGACTCATAATATAAACATTTTTAAAAAAAAGAAAGCAAAAGAAAAGAACCAAAAAAAAAATACAAAAATAAAAAACGCTATTAAAACCCCTAACGCAAAAACACTTTCCGAGTTAAAACATGTGTTCAATGATTTCAACGGAATGCCAACTTTTTCATTATTCGTCCAAATATGACAAAACTGAATACATGATGTACCCTAAAACACATACATACCACACACACACACACACACACACACAAAAAAAAAAAAAAAAAAAAAAAAAAAAAAAAAAAAAAAAAAAAAAACAGCATAAAATGATTAAAATCAGGGCAATATGACAGTTTCAGTTGTTATCCACGTGTGCCCGTGGTGCTCCGAGAGCTGACCCCCAACGAGGTCAACTTCTTAGCAGCGGGACGAGTGGGGTAGAGGTGAGGGTATAGGGTTGAGAAAGCATTTCGAGATCGTACCGCATCCCATGCAAAAGGAGGACCTTTTGCCGTTCTGAGCGCAAATGTTGAGCTCATAATGCCATAGACATCAGCACTTGGGCTCAGAGAACCTGGCATCCTGAATGGGTTCTCCGGATCAGAGCAAGAGCTAGCACTTGTGGATCCGATCACTATACTGTTGCTGATATTGACCGTGGACCGCGAGAGCATCTCAGATGCGACTCGATTTAAAAGAATGCCTCGCTTGCAGTCTGTCACGATGACACTGTCAACTGTGGCGTCATTTACGTCTTTGTATGCCAGAATACCGTAGTCCCAGCTCTGGAGCATGGCATAGATAGGCAGCATTCTCGCACCCACACAGCAACAGAAGCAGCACATGATATCATCATCTCCTCATCTCAGCACGTGATGTTGACAAACGTAGAAACGATCAAAACAACAGGCAAGACAAGACAAACAGGGAAAATGTGTGGAACACCAACGGGAAAAGAGAACAGTGGGTTAGTGTGGACCTGAATGCAACAGTGTGAGATCTGAGTTCCACCTTCAACAATCCAAAGGTTAAAAATGTGAGTACCATAGATGATAGCTCAGCCTTAGCAGAACCCTGGCCCTACCGTTAGGGAACCTCCTCCTTTCTTTCTGTTCTGTTATGATACTCGTCCAAACATGGATGGTAACTCAAGCGGAAGGCATAAACATGAATCACAGAATACCATAGCTCAGCCTTAGCAGAACCCTGCCCCTACCAGTAGGGAACCTCCTCCTTTCTTTCTGTTATGTTATGATCCTCGACCACACATGGATGGTAACTCAAGCGGAAGGCATAAACATGAATCACAGAATACCATAGCTCAGCCTTAGCAGAACCCTGCCCCTACCAGTAGGGAACCTCCTCCTTTCTTTCTGTTATGTTATGATCCTCGACCACACATGGATGGTAACTCAAGCGGAAGGCATAAACATGAATTGCAGTGCAACATAAGAGAGAAGTAGAGGTTTCAAGAAAAGGAAAAAGACAACGACAAAAAGAAATGAAGAAAATTTTAAAAAGGTGGGAAATATGGGACATTGTTTGTTCATCACTATTCCCGCATAGCGAATCTTGGATAGACATTGATAGAGGTAAAACTTAAACCACCAGTACTTCCTAAAGTTGCGGCTGTTAACAAGCCGCGGCAATGATGAACAAACGGGCCCGTATGGCGCGTCGGCTCATCCGAGTAGAAGCGCTTCTACTCTTTTCTTTTTTTTTCCCGCGGCCAACGTATGGGCCAAGTACTGGTGGTTTAAGGAGTTCTTGTGAGATTTGGCCATATCCAATTTTCCAGATGAAGAAGTTATGATTTACCCTGGAGGCTTGGTCAGGACTCAGGATTAATAACTATGATAATTGACACAGAAGTACCTCAAAAGATGTCAGGGAAGGAGGGTTACAAAAACACAGGTGAGGAACTAACCTGAGATGAAGGACAATATATCAAGGGTGTCAGATTGTCACTGTGGCTTTTCAAAGGAAGATTTGCTGAAAACAAGTCCCATTTGTTGTGTTTTCATGCCTGGGGAGAGGATTGAAAGTATGACCTACCAGAGCAACAGGGCACAGATGAGGCAGCGCTTGGAAAAAAAGACCAATGACCTGTGGTCATTTACTTCATGTTGACCTCATTTGACCAATGACCTGTGTTTCATGCCTTGTACGCCTCTTTATTGATGATGATAGCAGCAAGTTCTCAGCTGCTGTTGAAAGGAAAGCAGTCATCCTTCTTTCTATAAAAGGGGAGTTCGGTGTGAAACGGTATTCACAAATTCGTGGTAGCTGAGGCAGATCCCAGGGCTTGATCCCTAGTTCCCCAACTTACCTGTGTATAATATCTACGTCAACTCGAAGAGTTGAACCTGCGACCTGTAGAACCGCCAGTGGTAGGTAGATTGTCGTAGGGCACAGGATAGACTGGAATCGAACTGTAGACCTGTAGGGTAGAAGTCTAGACAGTTCCGGAGTTGTAG